CATCGACAATTATACATCTCATCCAACAGCTGTACGACAATGCTGCATGCCAAGTAATCCACAACGAGAAACTTACGGAATCCTTCGAAGTGAGGACAGGAGTAAGACGAGGCTGCCTACTATCGCCAATGATTTTCCTGATTGCAGTAGACTGGATAATGCGACAAACAGCGAGCAATGAGGAAACAGGCATAAAATGGACTCACACAAAGAACTTGGAGGATCTGGACTTCGCCGATGATATATGTCTGATTCCCCACAAACTGGAAGATATGCAAGTGAAAAGTAACAAGTTGGCAGAAGAAGCATCAAGGCTAGGACTTCAGGTGAACATAGAGAAAACAGAGGTGATGAAGATTCCCTGCCAACACCACCAACAGCAACAACAACAACAGACAAAAATCAGCATAAATGGAAGGAACCTGAAAGAAACAACCTCTTTTACCTACCTGGAAGCATTGTTTCAACTACAGGCGGAACTGACGACGATATCAAAGCAAGAATCGGAAAAGCAAGACAAGTTTTCACTACTCTCAAGTCTGTGTGGAGGTCAACAGCACTCAGCATCAAAAATAAGATCCGGATTTTCAACTCAAATGTGAAGTCAGTGCTTCTATATGGATCAGAGACTTGCACTGCGCGTCATAAAGAGCATCTCAAACAAACTACAGACCTTCATTAACGGTTGTCTTCGCTCAATACCACTCAAGATCAGATGGCCGGCCAGAAAAGATCAGCAACAGGGATCTCTGGGAGCGAACCAACCCAGCAGTAACCGATTGTGAAACAAATAGGCAGGAAGAAATGGAGATGGATTGGCTGGCCACACTCTGAGGAAACCATCAAGTGACATCACTAGACAAGCCATCGCTCGAGTGGAACCCGAAAGGGAAGCGGCGAGTTGGTTGTCAGTGCAAGGGTGACTTGGAATTCATGTGAAGAGGAGATGAAAACGTGTGGGCAGACTTGGAGCCAGGTGAAGACTCTAGCAGAGAACCGAACGCAATGGAGACGCACGGCTGAAGCCCTATGTTCCTCTAGGAATTAAAGGGAACAATAATAATAATTTCTCTGATAAAGTAAAAATGTTGATATTCAGTCTTACTTCGAACGGTGCGTCATTTGAACATTTTTGGATTTTATAGTGTTCTACGAAAGTCCTTAAATATGTTGACCTGAACTGAAAATTTACCTGTCTCAATTATTTCCTTTGTTCAACACAACGACAGAATTTTAGTCTAGAGCACAATTGATGGATTCCATGCTCATAGTAATTGGCTCTCAGTCACTTACTGCCACTAACCCCAAAGTTATATTATGATTGGATTGGTACAAGAAACAAACAGTCTCAGAAATCAATCAATACCCATATTAATTATGTATCTCATAAAACGGGGCAGTTCTTGTTTCACTGAAATTAAACAAACTGTTTAGTTGTACTTCTATTCAAAAAGTAGCTTCAATCAGCGCATTTGATTTCGCAGCTGTTATTAACACGAATCCAATAGTACGTTTATTCAAACTCCCACAATAAGCACACTTAGACAGAGAACTAAGGTTTACTGCATAGTGAACAGCGATGGAATCATTTATCTGACCGTATCCTACTATTCATTTCATCGGTTAATGACAACGGAATGACTGTTAAGCAAAAATAAAGGTAGGCGAACGTTATTTTACGTCCGATTGATTTCCTTAAATAAAGCCTATATCAGTACGGAATGAATTTTAGTATCCCTGCCATAATAAATGATCAGTCATTCGTTAAGTCACAAACATATAATCTATCATCCAGATATTGAGCCAGTTATATGATTTAGAGATTTAAGTATACAAGTATTTACAAATACTTTGACATTTGTTAATGCATGAATTATTTAGTAAAATTCAGCTTTTTCTCTCGGACAAATATCAAAAATAAGACAAACGTTGACAAATTTTTCGCCGAATTATGAAATTTTTCAACCATTTTTCCCCAGACTTTTACATTTAAAAACGAAGTAATTCATATAATAAGTTGGCGTATAGTAATTTAAGTACATGGTGAAGGAAATTTTAGGCCATATTACATTACAGTGAGGTCGGTCTGGTGAACTAGGACCATTTTCATTATGTTGAATTGGTTTTACCACTTTAGAAAGACAAAATAACAGAAGTGTTTAGTGTGACGTCCATAGGTAACTCATTTATTTGATGCCTGAAACCGCTCCACTGTAGCACTGCTGGATTAAAGGTTCATGTTTCAAATCTCCCTGTGGCATATCATAATACAAAATTTTATTCTGTGGCAGATGGCTAGCAGTAGCATTTGTCACCTGGATGTATCTGCGCCTCACACAGTGACTGCATCACAAATGAGATTCAAATCCAAAGTTTCAATCAGTGAAGCCTTATTCATTGGATTACTGCACCAGAAGATCCATATTATGTTCACTGCGCATCAGTTGTTATTCGCCAAAGCTGTTGAGTTCTAAATAGAACATATTTTGCATTCTACTGCCGGCCATCACCTATCAAATAACACTAAGTTGAAATCAAAGACACTACAGAAGTTTTTAATTTAGGTGCCATTATGTCAGCAGACATCAGACTGTTCGGCCTAGTATCAACAAACAAAGTGAACCATGTAGGTAACAAAATTAAAAAACAGGGTACTATTTCTTCGATAAGGCGAAATTGCAATAAAAACAATCTAATTCTATTTTAATTGCATTGGAAAACGTAAATCTCTGCTAAAGATTAAAAAAACAAAACAATTTTTATGCTGAAACATTGGATGGTGGTTCATTTTCGCCTAAAATAAAAAACACGCTTATGAGCTGTATATTTGTTGTCTGTTCACAACAAATTAATTATTTAATTCCCTTTTTCTTTCAGTGAGCATCATTCATTTCCAATTTCTTTATTTGTAACTGATCAACCTCTAAAATGAGCATAAAATATTCTCTCAGTCTTTCAATGTTCTGTCAAACTAACACAACTTAATCATTCGAAATACTTAGAATAAACTTCTCATTCCACTTTGCATTTTAACCATAAGGAATTTCGAATGTTGTTCAGTGGATCTCCTCAATCCCTACAACTGTACTGTTCTGACAATCTGTTTATTTTAGCCAGGCCTCTCCGTTCTTAAGAAGGTTTTCTTGAAACAACTGTAAGACATATATATTCTAGTTGTGAAATACATGCACATTTTAGTTGTAAGGGTAATTTCCATCATAAACTGACACCAGGTTGAAGGGTACGGAAAATTATATGGCTAGGAATAACTATTTTTTCTTTAAAATGGGAATATTTAGCTTTGGACAAGTATATATTCGATAAGTTAATGTGGTCAGGATAAATATTTATATAATTCGGGTGCTTATTACGAATTAAACAGCCAATGACTCTTAGTTGTTGCTGACATCTAATCTATAACTTGACATATATATATATATGCTGACAAGCTGATGACCACCAGTGGAATGCAGCACATAATCTATTTTCATGCGCTCAGGATCAGCTACTAAATAGTTTCTTTGTACAAATGTCATATAGAAAAACTACAATCCACTGGCATGTGAATGTCGGAATCCATTCACACTTTTTACTAGGTATAAGATGTCAGAATGAATCTGAATCTAAGTGTCAGTTCTACATGAAAAATTTTGACCATGAAATGTGCGTATATTAAGTAGCGAAATTATGAATGATCAGCTCTGTAAGTCATTTTTAAAGCTGACTGTAACTTATTGAGCAGTAAACATCCTGTTAAGATTTCTATAAATGTGCATATTCATCGAATGGAGTAGTTTTGGCTAAATATTTTATCATCTTGTTAATACAGTTTTCGGATTTTGTAGATCGCTCTAGATATTTCAGTATTAATACGCCTATCCTAAGTGATGAAATTAACTCAGCTATGCTGACCACAGCTTTCACATTTGTAATATTCAACTCAGTTTCGGAAAGAAGGAAGTACTACTTATGTCACTCCTGAAGCATGTATTATGTAGATTTGAAATTTAATAAAACTTCGCTCGTGGAGAAACAGCCTTTCACATTCACTGGGTCAAAACTGCTCCCCTAAATCTTAAATAGTGACTATGTGACACTTAAACACTAGTCCGAATGTCACCGTGGTGATTATAACTTTCTTGACATCTGTGTGTTCAATAAGTGGGCATACTATATAATGTGATTCAATATTATCCTTGACAAGTGAACATATGAGAAAATCAGACTATTTTTCAAAAATACAGTTTTAACATGAGTACATCTTCAACTGTTCAGTGGCTGCAGTTCACTGTTGAACTAAGGATTATTGCTGACCAAGTACATCTTAAGTAATTACTTTTAGTAGAATCATTCATTATTTTGACTTAAAATTTAAAATTCTTCACTATGTTCAGTAAATCCTAGGTTCACTCTTCAGTGCATAAAATCATTCTGAGGATCGCTTATACTACCTTGTGTTTCGCTTTGGCATAATTTAACTAATGTTGACTAATAAATAGTTCGGCACACACGTATTTTTGTATTTGTAACTGAATAACAGAGTCTGTCAGCCTTTAAATGATTATCTCTGCTGTCACTGAGAACTACCTCTTACTACCAGACAAACAGAAGCAGAATGATAGTCAAGTTCTTTCACACAGTTCTTACGCCAATAGAGTATAATCACTTTTAACAGGTAAAAGGGGTAGCGATAAACACAATCCGATGACATCTAGTGCATGCAATGGGTTAGGTGACTAACAGCCCAGTGTATAATACTCAGGTGAGAGGTGTATCCAAAGAGTGGGAGATTAGCAAAGGCACATTAAAAAAGACAGCAAAATGAAGATCTCCACAGGTCATAGAGTTAGCATTGTATTTTCTTAACGAGCCACTTGCATTTAGCATAGTAGAAACGTTTTTGGGAAAAGAAACTAACATTAAGATACTCTTGGTATAGTCTTTTGCAATACTAAATCAACTGGATATTTAAAAGAATTCAGAGAAGAGTAAAAACTTACTAAACTCTCGAACACAATTCGCCAGTAAATTATTTACACGAAATTCTATATTAGCGTGTTTTCTTAGTTCAGTTTTAGCCGTAATTGTATCCCGACTAGCTCTGGATTCCAACAGCAACAGATCTTCACACTCTTGCAACCAACCGCGTAATTCAGCGAACTCAGTGAGATGCATAAAACACTGATAGCCTATGTTTAAACGATCTGTACGCTTTGTCAGTCGGTTGTCTAAATTTTTCAAATCATGACGAAATTCATTAGCTGTTGTATATAGATCATTAAGAATTTTTCTAGGGATTCGATAATGAATGCCAGTGTCCGTCAATAATTCAATTTCAGCGCATTCATTAGTTTCTTCCCCAGTTCGCTTTTCTGATATCGTTTTCCGAGTAGAATGTTGACCACTTGTAAAGGAATTGTTCGAGATTTCTTGAAATACAGATTGAAACCGTGTAATTATTTTATCCGACTCCTGAAAAATGTAATACAGTAATTATGAGTGAATCAACTCGAAAATTTTGTAATAAAGCACAGAATATAACATGCTGAGACACCTTAATATCTGAGTATGGAAGGAAAACGAGTATCTATTCAATAAAAATGAAATACTACAAACAACATGTAGGAGAGAACTAGGTGAACCAAAAAGGATCTTTTCTGTTAATGCTCGCTAATTTACATTCAAGTCACCTTCGATTATATTCTGAGGAGGGTACGTCTTTGTAAAAGGAGAGAGAGGAACAGCAACGCTGATCCAATACGCTTGTACTAATAGATCTTTCCTTCAATGGAGACAGAATTTGTTTTATTAATTCTATAAACAAATGCTAGGTGGTAGGAGAATAACAACCATACTACCAAACTATTAACCAACAAACATTCATCATAATACAGGAACGAAGAAAATCATTCATTCTGTTCCGATTCGACAAAAACTGTGCTTTCAAGACTTCTGATCCCACAGATTCTTATCAGAGTTATTTTAAAACCTTTTTAAGAACTGTATGTCGCTGACGCGACTTTTTGGCTCATTGGCGACTGCTTTCTATTTAGTCTTAATATGACCTCTCTTTATGTGTACTTTAGTATCTTCTATATAATAAGGTATACGTCGTCTTCAGTTGTCACTGTAAACTGCAGTTCTCACTCCCTTACCTTTGAAAACGTATTGCCATATAAGTATGTTATATTATTAGTAATTCCACTGTAATTTATCATAAGTTTAAGGTAATATAAGTATTGTGAAAAGCCATGAAAATGAATTATACTATTTAATTCTGAAAATTCACTCTTCCTAGCTTCATTCAAAATTCTAAAGTTGGTGGATTTGTAGAAATTTGATTGCTTTTAAGGTAATCTTTGTTAATACTGAAATTCATATCAAAAAGCGATTGAAGACCAAAGAGTCAACTCCTTACCCGAATACTTAAACCTATGATTATTCAAGCTTATCAATTCAGACTTTAGTACGGTTGTGTAATGATGACATTGGACAATGAACCGTCATATCCGTGTACAGCAGCATGCTAGTTATCAGTTGCAATCCTGACGAAGTTGAAGTGTCATGATCGAGTCAAAAGCTCCCCTTCAAGAACCAATCAACTTAGAGAACGCTAAGAAAGTTTATTCCTAATCAAATCGTGCCTACTTTCATGGATTTGGCAGATGAGTTCCATGAAGACCGAGTATTTGACCTCTTTGCCAAAAGTGGATTAACTGAAGTTATGAAGACTTGCATGTATGTGGAGAGTTCGAAATAATTATTGCTACAGATGCAATTCTTCCTATGAGAGAGAATCTGTTCGCTAGGGTAGGTACAATATCCTACAGTTAGAGTGAATTATAGCGACCCAACCTATTTTGCTTATTCCCTAGGTATTTTTCTGTCAAGGCGTAGGGTTAAGAGTAAGTTGAAGAACAGAGTCAAGGATATCAGTGGATCCCAAAGTACCATGGTCCAAAGTCACTTTGATAAATACGTCTATTGCGCATGATGTGATTTCTTTAAGCATTATCCTTGGAGCAACTTGCAGACATTTTTCAGGATAACTGAGATTTTGGCTATGATACTGTAATTACTGTAATCTTCACCAACGTAAGCTCATATAAACTTGTGGATTTGTATTTTCCATCTATGCTAATTTCAGAGAAACAAGTGCTAAATATGCCCTGGTTTTTTTGATTTTGAAATATGCTGAAAAACTGCACTAAGAATTAATTCATTTGCTCACCTGAAGTGTAATCTCTGTTCTCTTTGTTCTGTTGGCGACTTCATTCACTAGAAGTCGATGTTGTCTAATCAGTTGATTTACGGCAAACAGAGAACGGCCTATGTAGGTATCATTAGCAAGTAGAAGTTTTTCATGTGTCCAAATTCTTTCATCTTCTAGATCTCTGAAAAGAAATTTAAAATAATTTTCGTCAGCAAAACTCCTGATATCCTGATATTAACACTAAGAAGAATTTAACATTCTTCAGCCTTTCCACATTCATTTCGAAATATAAATTCCTAACTTGATGTTTTCTTCTGGAATTTAGTTGGCAAGATGTTAGTGATTCAGCACCACTGTTTAGAAAAAATCTCATTTAGTTTCAGCATTCTAACTTGGTGCTCAAAATAGCTTCCTATAGTTAGACCCTTCACACGATAAGGTGTGGGAGAGAATGGTTTAGATGACAAATTAGTTGGTAGCGATATTCACAGAATTATTGACATAAAAACCACAGTCCAAAATATGGTTAGCCACTTGGACCCTTTTTGCAAAGCCTTTCATAGCTCCCTTTATAATGGTGGCGATTTCATCGAGAATACCATTAGGTGTCTGAAGAAGAGACTATCCTGTCAAGTAGACCTACTCATACCAAAGTTGTCTCTCTGATGAACAAACAGAGGAACTTAATCTTTCGCATTCACATGTATGGTGGTGGGTTATTTCTCTTGCTTCCGCTAGCCTTGTAACTATATATAATTTCACCTCAACTAGAACATTTTAAAACATAACAGTAAAAATTCTGACCAAGATAATGTTTTTTTTATCAAATTCGTAATTACCTATAAAGTTGGTAAATGTGCTTTTGTGCTTTCAATTCTTCAGCGTGTTGATGAATAAATATTTGAATTTTCCAGAATTTTCTGATTAATCGCTGAATTTTTAGATCTATTTCAGATTTTTTCATTTGACTATCGAGAGTTGACAAAACTTTTGAATGTTCCTTGAAGAATAATATTTTTGAGAGAAATAAAGAAAAAGAAATTTATATTTTTGTTCTGTTTCATGTAACAGTTGTTATTCACTGATGCATATATTTGTGTCTCAAAAAGTTAAACTGAACAATTAACTATTTTCTTTGAAAAATAACAATTTACCTGAATCGTGTTGCGCAAATACATTACACGATTCAGACAAATTACGTCTTCTTATTGCTTTATCTAAATTCATAAAGGGAACTAATTGTTTTAAAACAATTTACTTGCTAAAAATATATTGAAAAATATAGTCCTAACACCTACCAGGTAATGAAATCGCAGCTGATATTACAGTAGAGCAGAAGGATCATTAATCAGTTAACAGCGATTTCAGTGTAGAGCATATAATTTGTAGTTAATTCGTAAACTGAACCAGCATTTAATAATTTAGGATCAGGAATTGGTCAGCTAGCTGGACACAAATCATTTGGATAAACTAGCTATTCTACGTCCTGAATTTGTTCGTATACACAGTTGGTGAAGACAGTCTAGACACAGCAGGATGACAAACGACTGCTGAAAGTGCTTGTTTTTTTATTTAAAAGCTAATGTCATTATTAGCGCATGGTGGTTTTCAGAATAAAAAATTTATCAGTCTACATTTGCATATGAGTTTTTATTTGTGGGTAGAGAGATTGATCAGTTATGTCAAATATGTTTTGTTTAAGCACACTGATTGTAAGAAATAGTCAAAAAACCAAGTATACACATGAATTGATATTTCAAACAAATTCAACTGACAGTGATGACATTTTCATTTAGTATAGCTTCACTGGGCATTTATACTTAAGCTTTTTCTTACAGAAAAAGAATGTAGAGGATGAAGGGTTGTTTAGCTTCGTTGTGTAGTGTTTTCATGTCCACACCACAAGTCTCTTCAACCATGATACATGTAAATGAATGTCATAAATATTGTCGGAAAATAACAATAGTCTTGTGACTGAAATTTGTCTTTTCGTTTGTATTTATACTACTTGTAAACTATTTGGAGGTAAGTAGGTGACGTGGTTAGTAACTTCTTTGTTATGTAACCAGTCAAAAGCGATTTTTCCTCAATATTACATCACACTTTACAAATATTTTTGATGGTCGAATGAATTCGAAAGACAGCTTATTTAAACAGTTAAAACTGCTCCAATTTTGTTTTAGCTTAGTACGCTTCATGCAAATATTTTAAAACACCAAAGCATAGTTTATCATTTTGTGGTACTAAATGCTCACCATGCTTGGTGACCAAGAATATTTTCATCTAACATGCTACACTTAAATGCAAACAGGCTTTGAGCTAAAAAGTCTTAAATAGTCTTGTGGTAATTTTATGCGTGCATGATTCATATCATAGGCATAGAGAGAATCTCCTTTCAGTTGTAAGAGGCTTTTCCTGCATCTATGAGGTCATCTAAACAAACGTCTACTTTGTCTTCACGTGATCTCCACAATGTCCAAACTGTCAATTCTCAATAGGGTTCCATTCGAACGCTTGTCGTGTATTATCTCTCAGCTGTCTCTTTAGTCCAGTCCATCTCCACTTCCCTCTGAGATATTTGTTAAGTAGTGTTCTGTTAGCTGGTTAACTAACTAATAGAGTTCCTTTTAACTTATCCACTCCATCCATCCATTTGATCTTCATTGCCAAATCAGCGAAGGAAGCTGCTGATGAAATTCTGGTGTTGGAAATTTTCATAGTGACGTGCATGGCAGTTCTGTGAACCGTATAAAAGTTCTGACTTCCTCCCTATGGTAAGTGTTGTGGATCTCCACACAGGCATAAAGAAAATGAGCGCCTGTCTTGATTTTTCATTCTATCCTGGCTGTCATTGACATCCTCATCCGTGCCAACTAGTTAAAACGGTACCACCTATGCAGATAAGTAAAATAGATGACTTCTTTCAGATTTGTCCCATTGGTGGTGATCGTTGGTGTTGGTCGGACACCTTCACTACTTCCTCGTTTTCTGTGTTACCGGAAGTTCCCTCTTCTCTGCCTCTTCCACTAACTTGTCGGTTTTATACCTGTAGAAATAAATCACTTCTAAAGTCTAGATCTCCCAGATTCATTTTGCTGGTTCAACATATGCTGGTCTTTTTGCTTCCCACAGTAAATCATGTGATACTCCACAATCAGGAATATCGTCTGTGATAGTAGGCATCCTTGTCTTACTCCTAACGTCAGTTCAAAAGTATAGGTGCGCTTTCCACTGAGAATTACTTGGTATATGGCGTCATCATACAGGTACTGGATGAGAATTGTAAGGGTTCGCGGAACCATACCTTCTAATGTTTACTCAGTTTCCAAATTACTTCACTGTCGACGCTGTCGAATTGATTAAATTGAAGTATAGAGTTGAATTCTATTCATTTCCTTGTTGGATGATGACGCGAAATAATACAACTCGATCCGTGCATGACATTTGCTGAATCCAGTCAGTTGCTGGCGAAATCTACCCATTCAACTATTACAATATAAATTCAGCGGACAGTAAGACTATAAACCAAGTTATTAAGTTTTGTGAATACATTAATATTATTATGAGCAATAAATTGTGCTCGAAACTTTATCCAGTTATTAATACTGTATCACTGCGTACTACATCGAATAACACATTTAGTATGGAATTATATTCTACCACAATGCTTAAATTTTACTCTTACATTAGTGAAGGGAAGAGGTGAATACCAGGCTCCTAAATAAAACTCAGTGGTACACACAGCTGATTGAAATAACAAATGGTGTTTATAGAGTTAAGATCAATGGTTTCGCAACAATAATACGCTTAAGAAGCAAAAATGAGATAGTAAAAAAGTAATTTAGAGGAAATCTATTTCGCTCATTAAAAATAACAAAGTAAAAGTCTTCCAAGCGCTTAAAATTATTCCCAACTTTTCGTGTTGATCCCTGAATCCGTCAAGTTCATGAATCTATTCCTATAAGTAATCTTGAGAAGTGAAAGCCTTAACAGTGTCAAAACTACTTAAACTCGGCATTTTGGCAGGTCAGCGTTTTAATGTTTCTTGAACATGATAGAAACTCTTCAGAATCTCTCCAGAAGTATCCAATTTATTTTTCGATCACTGTGTGAAGATGTTGACCTTATTGTAATCGTGTAAGTTATCTTCTCTTTCACATAAACTAATTGGAAATGCGGTAGTTCAGAATGGCATACAAGTTGTGAATGTTTATCTGTCAGTTAAACTTTAGAGCGTGAAAATCTACAAGCTAGGTAGAATCACTGGTCTTAACAATACCACTGTATATCAAAAGAATCTCTAAGGATTATTTCATTATATGATTGTGTTTTCTTTTGGAAAAGTCTGTCGAACTTGTACCTAAAGCAATAATAATAATAATTATAATAATAATGCTAATACACCATTAAATATTAGTGAACAGGAAATTAAACTTTAACTTTATGAGTATAACAAGATAATTGGCATAATTCAGGTTGTCAGAAGCAAAGCGTCTACTTTGTTTTTCCTTATCTCCTACTGTACACACTCTATGACTTAGATACTAATAAAACAAAAGATGAGTGATTTGTAAAACTGAATGGAACAGGTTTCAATTTCAACAAACAGCCTATTGTATTGTATTGTGCATCAAATGAAGGAGAATTATTAAACGTCGAAATTGAGAACTAAGGGAAAATGGAATTACTACTACTTTTCTGTTTCATTTTTATTTACAGAATAATGTTAAGTATGGATTTAAAAAATTTTGTATTTATCAATTTAATGACAATGTGAAAGTGACAGATTAACAACTAAATTAGTAAAATGATTATTATTCTAAATGAAAAAAAAAACAACTAAATATTACCTACTGAGTTTTGATTTCATCTCTATTTACCCGATAACGTGCTCAACGACAGTTGGTTCAGTCCCCTTCGTTTGTTTTTCAAATAGAAGAAATGAAACTATCGCTAATTTTAATCATTGTGACTTATTTTCGAGAGACTTATGAATTCTGGTAAAAAAAGTAAAGTTAATTTTTGAATTGGTTTCTAACACAGATGGTTTTTATTAGATGCAGTATGATTGAAAACTGGTGAATCTTGTTTAGCAGTTGTGTTATGCTTTGAAACTTTTCGTAGATTTGCACGCTAAACCTTATACCTAGTTGGTGATACATAAGTCAAGTGTCATAGTATGTGTACTACCATTCAGTTAGTGGTTTCAAAGTCAATAACGAAACACAGTGTTTGAATAACAAAGGGCTTACTAAGAAAATGGACAATGTTTGACTTGCATGCCAACTGCAGACAAGTGGTTTAACAGTGTAAAATATTCCCAAATCATGAATTAAAAATCAGTCTGGACAAAGAATATTCTACATAATAATTCTCTTCAGGTTCTTACAATTGCAAAATACAATTAATATATGTGTAAAACTTGGGCACTGTGGTAGTAAGTAATTCCATATCATATCAATTGATATGATTATGAACAATAAATTTTGTTCGAAACGTCATCCAGTAAATAATACTGTTTGACTGTGTGATATACCTAATAAACAAACTAATATGGAATTGCAAAATACAATATTTGTTGTCGTTACAGTTATGCGGTGGATACATTTTCACGTAGAATAACAGATTAGTTATATGGTGAAAAAATAAATAGTATGTGTGACAAACGTGCTGGGCTGAATTCAACTGGAAAATGTTGTGAAATAAGAGATAAAATTGTGATGAGTTGTGATTCATATGATTACGAGCAATAATTTATGCTCGAAACATCATCCAGATGTTAATATTGCCTCACTGTGTGATATTTAAAATAAACTTTTCTAATATGGAATCACATTCTACCATAATGCCCAAGTACCTACACTCACATAAATGAGAGGCAGATTATGGGAAGCGAATTGTGCACCGATACTCTTATTATTAATCTGAAGCAGCTACTACTTAAATTTACAGCAGATTTCCAACTCTTGCTTAATAATAAAATGTACAAACAGAAAGTTGACATGGCCATGGGAGCATCATTAGGTCCTATTATTTGCGAACATATTTCTAGCAAAACTAGAAATTGGTCCTTTAAAAGATGAAATAGCTAGAATGGAACTGTACTGTCGTTACATGGGTGACATTTTTGTAGTGTATTTTAAAGGTTTATGTAGTGATTTGATCTTGAGCCACTTCAGTAGTGCTAACCCAGAGGCCTATTTAGCCTACAAAGGACAATGCAGCGAATCTCTGCACTTTCACAGTGTCTTAGTAACAAGAAGAGAGGATGTTTCCATTGAAAGAACCATACTGAGAAAACTTGAGACCAAATCTCAATGTACACACTTTCTTAGCTTCGTTCTTATTAAATTCAATTTTGATTTGATCAAATGCTTAGTATTCAGAGAAAGAGGTCTATGTGGTCTGTTGAGTGAAAAGAGAATGAACTCCAGGTCATCCTGGATATTCTAAGCGGAAACCAATATTATCCCATAATGGAATTATCCTCTAACACAGTGCCTAAGTTTTATCCTTATATCAATGAAAACAGAAATCCAGAGGAGTTTATAAAAGCCAAAATAAGTTATAGTATACGTGAACATGAACTCACAAAAGTGGAGAAAAAGCCTTTATTTTACGTCTACAGTGTAGAGGAGATACTCCTGAGTGTATTCTATCCAAACATCTAACCACAGTGACAAGTAAGACTTTCTACTCTGAACATCTATTCTTCTCCTTCAGTAACCATCCAGTATTTGCCCAGAAAATAAAAGACGTCTCACTTAGCCTTAGCTTTACCTTACGCATATATCTCTCCCGTTGTTCCTGTGGTTCAAGAAATGTAGGGCATAAGATACGGCAGGTTCATCTACGCGTTCGAGAACATTTACCAGCTTGCTTCAGCAACGGAGGAAATTGAGTTCATAAAAAGCTCGATTCTGTCACACTTAGTAGATACTGGATATCGCATTGATGCCAACACAGCCTTCAGAGTGACATACCGATTTCTGAGGTCGTTATCACGTACAGTTCCCTTACCACTCCTACACACAACTGAAGCTGTTACAGTAAGATCGATGGAACTTTGCATCCAAAGAGAACACGTTCCAACGCTGTTCCTACTGTGGTCAAACTTGGATCAATGATTCTTCTTCTCATCAAGAGTGTCTTTTCCCCTTATCCCCATTAATTTTTCCTTTCCTCTGCTTATTATAATCTGTTATAATAACAATTTATGATAATTTATACCCTTCATTCTAACATTTTGTCTATGCTGTTGAATTTCCCATTTACACTATTCGGAATTATTACTAGTGATATTATCTCTTTTCTCAATATATATGCCTGTTTCATTACACACATTAGTTATTACATGATGAACTTTTCACTTCAGTAGTACTGTCTCCTACTTAATCCATACTATCTTGTACTAGTCACTCACCTAACCTTGAACTGACTTGTCCATTTTTCCTACCCCACACATTCTACGAATCTACTATGACTAATCGCCACCATTGTCACTCATTTCACAATATTTTCTAGTTGATTTCGGCCTAGCACGTTTGTCACACAAATACGACTATTTATTTTGTTACCGTATAACTAATCACTTATTCTACATTTTAAAAAATGTATCCGCCGCATAACTGGCCATTACTGTAACGATAACAAATGTTATATTTTATAATGTTAAGAACCTGAAGAGAATTTATTGAGGAGAGTGGTTATTTCTGGATTGAAATAATTCTCCTTTAATGTTGCAAAGATTATTATTAGTTCTGAATGTGAAATCTACTGTATATTGTGAAAATGAATTATATACTACACTCTGAATTTTGCCGAGCACCGTCTTCATCACACTGAAATTTTACCAATAGGTAGTCCAGCTCAACAATATGAAACATTTATTTGTTAATAGCTAAAGCAACTTATATATAATGGGCTAATAACTACAGTCGCTGGTGAGTAGCAAAATGATACTGCTCAGAACAGAAAACTTAACTTACATAGAGTTCAGCTAACAGTTTCTTTTTTAAATCCAACTCATTTAAATGTTCAGTAATTTTGTTTAAATGTAAATTCGCTTCATTCATACTGATACAAACAGGTTCATTGGCTTTTTTCGTCCAGCTATGCTGCATATATCTATTTTGTAAAAGATCCTCCAGTATTTTACCAACAGATTCTGTTTCATCAATTAAATTTAAACCACATTCATCTGTTAAATACTCCAACAGATTTTCAATCAATACTAAAGGATCTTGTTCAGTGTGTTCCTCTTGAAACTTTATAAAACTATCAGGTGGTCTACGTGTGAGAATCTTCAAAAAGAATTTATCTAACCAGCGATTTAACTCGTTGCATCCATCTTCAAATATAATTCCTAGTTGAAAAGAAAAATGCAGAAAACAGAAAAAAAAATTGTAGGCATGTTTGTGCAGTGAAGCATATGACCTATTAAAACTCGTAGATAAATTACAGTGGAACTTTAAGGTAAAATCTTTCGGACCTATTCATTGGAATGTTAATATAAAATTTTGTTCTACTATTACCTCAGTTTCATTTTAGACTTTTATAATCTTTGCAAGTAAACCTTTTTCTCATTAAATTTGACTTTTTCGAAGAAAAGTAGTTGAAGATAATAAATTAGATAAAATTCCAATTACATATAGTATTTAAAACATTACAGTAATGCGTTATTTAAAAAAAAACTAACAGCGGTAGTAGTTAGCTGTATCGCTGACGTTATCACCCTTTAAAAATGTATTAATGACATGAGTTTCTGATAATTTATGACAATAGAGTCTCCAAGTGAATCACTTTATACTGAAAGCACAAAACCAGCTATCGAGTAAAGCCGTTCACTTTTTTGACTTGCTGAGGATTGAACAAGTGGGAAAGTGAATTCCTATTAAGAAGTATCCCGACAGCCAAAATCAATATTATTTATTTCTAAAATAATAGAGGTTTGTAAGTCATTTGGACGGATATTTTTGTGTTACTGAATTTCTTACCCTCATTCTTTTGTCTGGAATGGTTTTGTTGACTTTCCTAGACAATCGCCTTGCAACTGGGTTACTCTAAATTAATCGGAAAGACGGTGAATTCATTTTCACGCCTGTAAAAATAAGTTGGCAGTCGATCGATGGAATACCTCGTATTTCATATTGTCTACACTGGTCATCTACCGTGATAGACTACAACTAGAAAATGAATGAGTGTTAGATGGAAAATTCAAAAAAGTGGTTGAATATTCCTAAAAACCTTGAACCCAAATAACTTAGGAAAGGATGAAAACGTAAGAGCAGAATCTAGTCATGCAGGCACTCCATAACTTCGTGGTATAACAACTTATTTGGGTTTCTTTTTATTCCACGTTCCCAGTGGAACATAGGGCTTCAAGGTACAGGCTTGAAGTTTCTGTAGCAGTGTTTATTCTTACAGGATGGGGTTGCTAGCCTCATACCCAACCTTCCCCCTTTGCCAGTTCTATTACTGGCTTAGCGAAGTAAAGGAGTGCGTTGGCCGGGGATCGAACCCCGGACCATGTGCATGGTCGTCGAGAGTCCTAACCGCTGTGCCACCGGCGCATATCGTGGTATAACAACTTATTTGGTTTTAGATACTACATAATAGTTGGCCCTCCACGCACATTTTATTGAGTTATGGTTAAAACAAAAAGGTTGAACTTTAAACTTCATTAGCCTCATGATTATGTGCTATGAATTGTTCTATTATGTAAAAAATGTGGCCATGTAGAATACTGTCTGTCAGCCGCTAAATAAATATTCACATTCCACCGATGGGAAATTCCATTTTAGTCCTTACTGTTTTATTCTACAAGTAAAAGTTGTTTGGGATGGTAAGTAGTACGAGTCTGATGCCAATACTAAAATCAGCTATCAATAAAGTATTATGATATTCGCCTTTTTTGCTGTTGAAGAAATGAGATACACGCTTCACCACAAATCTCATTATTACATAAATGATTACGTATTGCTCCATCGATGTACCACTGGTCAGGCGTGTGGGTGTAGAAACCTACTTATGGTCGCGTTGTGCTGTTGACAACGAAGAGTATACCCAAATGGCTTTAAAAACCAGTCACCTCTCAGTCTTTGATAAATAAAGGTGGTGAATGATCATTCGTACTTATAACAGGTGAGTGTACAATCAACTTTAATACCTATAGGGAAGTAGCCATAAACTTATACTGAGACTTACTGAATCTGTACTACTCATCAAAATCAAGTTTCGTCTAGGTATCATTACACCGAATCTACTCTAGTAATCCTTACTTCAATACATTATCAGGAGTAATGTCGCCAACCAGATTCTTATTCTTCGCTTGTTGTACGTTTACGTCTGCATTTCTTCTTTTCTTTACTTTTATTATTTATTAATTCTGTTGTCATCATTTTTCGCATCATCCTGATATTAAATAATGCAACTGCAGTTGGTCGTACACGACAAGCACATAAATTACTTCCAAACATCTTTCAGTTTGATTTAGGTACCATCAAAATGGACAGATAATGAATGATGAGTATGACCTGAGCATTACGGTGTAGTATAATTCCATTTCTTTTTGATTTATCAAATGCTGATAGAGATTTACACACTGAATAATGTTTCCAGTACAATTTATTACTCATCTCTTTATTGAGATAGTCACACTTTATTAAAAAGTAATTCCTATTGTTCTTCAGTGTCTAAATTCAGAATTTTCTTAACACATGCAGCGATAGTGAAATCATTCTGATTACATGTATACAGTGTTGATTCGGTAAGCAAAGTTTTAGTAATTAATGTCTCTCCGCCCAAATATACATAATTTTTTTTTAAAAAAAGCCCGTCCTCTTCCCGTTTACGGTGTGATTATGGATCAGTGCATGAATTGTAGTAGTTGAGCTTTATTCTACACTAGTTATTTTAGTGGATCCACCAGTCTGTATTTTCTTTACAGACATCCCAACAAACAGCAAGCGTTTTCAGTGATCTTATAATCATTACATAATATCTGACAAGCTTCGAATCCTTCCAATTCTTCAGGAACATTATCAGCCTCACTGGAACAGATAAATAGATTTATTTTGTCTTAGTGTACAGATATGTTAGTTATTGAGTTTACTGACTCTGAATGGACATGGACTGATAATGTACAATAGGGCTGACTAAACTGTTTCTGATATGCATTAAAGATGTCGAATTTACGTTCTGTGGCCAGGTGTTCTATCAAGCTGATGGTTTGGCAATGGAAAGCTCCCTTCGGACATTTCGCATCAACTTATTCCCATCAAGCTAACAAGTAGGCATCTTAATGCAACGAACAGAATTATATCAAAGATGATATTTTTATAGTTCGTAAGAGGAAACCACAGGCGAAAATACTGTACACGAAATTCACTTCACTTAATTTCAGTTTAATTTCTTAGTGTGAAATATTCCCATATGAATTAAAAGTCAATCTGAACGAAGAATATTCTTTTCAATAATTTACCTCCAGGTTCTTACAATTATAGTACATAATATTTGTTGTCGTTACAGTAATGGCCAGTTATGCGGCGGATACATTTTCTACGTAGAATATCAGATTAGTTATGCGGTGACAAAATAAATAGTAGTATTTGTGTCACAGACGTGCTAGGCTGAAATCAACTAGAAAATATTGTGAAATGGGTGACAGTGGTGGTGATTAGTCATAATAGATTTGTAGAGTGTGGGGTAGGAAAATTGACAAGTCAGTTCAAGGTTATAAACGGTGTCAGATGAGTGGCTAGTACACGATAGTATGGATTAAGTAGGAGATAGTAAAATTGAAGTGAAAAGTACATCATGCAATAACTAATGTGTTTATGAAACAGGCATATATATTGAGAAAAGAGATAATATCACTAATAATAATTCCGAATAGTGTAAATGGGAAATTCAACAGCATAGACAAAATGTTAGAATGAAGGATATAAAGTATTACGAGTTGATCACGGATTGATATCAGTTAGAGAAGCATTGAAAACCAGGGAGTACTTGACAGCTGCTGTTTCATCCTAGTTTGGGAATCATCGGCAGTACGCACCCACTGGGATTCGAACCCAGGACCTTCCGGTTACAAGGCAAGCTCGAATACCATTCAGCCACTGGGACCCGATTCAATGGCTCATGAATTCTAACTTCTACCAATTCGTAATTTTAGCGCGACCCCAACTATTGTATGATAAATTATTAATATAATAGATTACAATAAGCAAAGAGAAAGAAAAATTAATAGGGATAAGGGGAAAAGACACTCTTGATGAGAAGAAGAATCATTAATCCAAGTTTGACCACAGTAGGAGCAGCGTTGGGACGTGTTCTTTTTGGATGCAAAGTTCCAGTTTAGTCGATCTTATTGTAACAGCTTCAGCTTTGTGTAGGGGATGTAGAGGAATTGTACGTGATAATCACTTCAGAATTCGTTATATGACCTTGAAAGGGATACTGGAGTTGATGATATGTCGATTATCGACTAAGTGTGACAGAATCGAGCTTTTTACGAACTCAATTTCCCCGTTGCTGAAGCAAGCTGGTAAATGTTCTCGTAGATGAACCTACCTAATCGTATGCCCCACATAACTTGAACCACAGGAACAGTGGATATCCGTTTTCGCTTAGAATATCTTGGATGACCTGGAGTTCTTTTTCTACACAGTCTTCGGAACAAATGTACCTCGCTCTAAACGCTAAGCATCTGATCGGATTACGTTTGTATTTCACTGATACGAAGCTAAGGAAGTGTGTATATTGATCCTTGGTCTTTAGTTTCTAAATATATTTTGATATCCCATAACTAATCTGTTATTCTACGTAAAAAATGTATCGGCCGCATAACTGGTCATTATTCTAACGACAACAAATATTATATTTTGTTATTTTAAGGACCTGAAGAGAAATTATTGAAAAGAATATTCTTCGTTCAGACTGACTTTTAATTTAATTTCACAATAGTACATGAGGAAAATAATACTACCAGATTTCTAGACATTCCTCTGGAGAAAAGTATTGGTAGTTTTGCAGAGGGATCCGTACGTAGAAAAGGCTCATACAAGGGATGGTATATAAAAGTGAGAGATATGCTTTTAATCAGAATAAAAGCAATCTGATTAGGACATCGTATAAAAGAACACCAAAAGTTTGTTTCTATAATACAGTTTAATATGAAATAATGACTTCAAAAATATTTCATATATTAATGGATATCCTGAGATGTTTATCAACAAGTATTTGAAAGTGATATGAGTCAAGCAAACTGTTTCTACAGTTTCAGAAAAGCCTATACACAGTCGTCTGCCATTCAAAGAAGTTGACTTCAGAGAAGCCGTTCACTGGAGGCCTAATAATGCTCTAAACGAATCTATTATCTTGCCACACTTGTATTCCACCAACTACTTACTGCAATAGTACAAAAAAAACGAATAGCAATTCTCGACACTTCTAACTATGTATGTTAGAGTGCAATTATGGAATCAAATGCATCGGTGGCAGGAGAAGGTAACTATTTACTTGAGCGAAAATGACCAGAAGTTCAGTAACAAGGCATATTCAAGACTACGAGAATGATTCAAATGCTTTTAACTTATTCATCCCAATCGGTAGAAAAGAACGGGCAGAAGGATACTCACAATCACAGAAGCTTGTACAATTAGAGCCATTCAACCAGATACAAGAATGGAAATGTTAGTCGTTTTGAATCTACATTGTCATTTCCTTTCACTTTGTTAACGGTTAATAACACCGTTTAACTTATTTACGATTACTTGGTTACAACTATATTTTGCCAGCATCTTTAAAAGGACAAATCCCATACCTCGATCTTATTTCCACTCCTAAATCATTTCATTATTAATATCACTCATCTAAGAATGTTTGATGCTGCCAAATGTTAGTCACTGGTAAAAAATGTTTATTATAGGAGAGTAACTAAAATGTAATGCATTAGACCCAGCTTATTCCTTTTAATTGTTTATTTCCCTGTAATATTCATCCTGTCTCACACACGACTGACTACAACTTACACCCCTTGAAATCTAAAACTTTGCTGCTTTAAAAAAACATGTCATCCAATTAGTTTATCTGGCTTTATCTCAGTTTTTTTTACTGACTACACATTCTCTGACTATTATTCCATCTAGTAACACAATACAATTTCTGACATATTTCCTGGCTACTTTATGCTAATAGTTGGAATCACCTAAAATTGTAGAGCCTGAATAACAGTGTATTGAAGACAGTTGTTCAGTTTAATTATTCGTCTTCTTGACAAGTATAGTTTTCAGTCTCTCATATCCTTCCACCCGCTATCTATCTGAACTTGACCTATCAAACATTCACTTTCAGTTTTGTTATGACTGATTCGTTTTGGTGTATTTGTCATTCACGTATCTTCCTTAATATTACACTAAACGTAAAGCATTCAGCTGATAACTTCCACCAAAACTTGATAAATTCATTAAATGCTGGTTTTTAACTTGTGTCCGGAAATGACTGTTTCCTAACTAGGATAAATTAAACAAAAACGGTTAAGTGATATCAAATGTTAATGGCTTGAATATTGTATCACGACTCCTACAATATACTGTTAGTCAGAACAGTACACAATCTATAGTGTTGTCACCTAGCTCTGATTTATTGTCAGCACAACTAAACCATTACCAATTATTTAAGTGTTCTCATTATGATAATTAGAGGACGTGGTTTAATTAAATATGCATCTTAAGGTAATTTCTAATCTAGAGTGATAGTTACACATGATAATTATTTAATACAAACCTCTGATACAACAGTGGTGAGCAGAAACAGAAATGAGCATGAGTTCTACCATACGAAAGATATGCCCTTAGATTTTAAATTATCTTAGATACAAGTTTTTTGCATGGTATTATGGGCAAAATTACCGCGCATCAAATGTATGCCTATCTTCTCATGACAAATGTCGTCAATGATTAATTAGTAAGTGCCATTCTCACTAAAGTTCCAGTTGTTATTATGAATACAATTAAAATCTGTCTTGCAGGATTTCATTATGAACTGACATTGGCTAGAGAACTACTGGAAAATCTCAGAGTACTGGAGAGCTGTTTCATCCTAGTTTGGGACTCTTCATCAGTACGCACCCACCGGGGTTCGAATTCAGGACCTTCTGGCTACAAGGCAAGCTCCCAGACGATTAAGCCACTGGGACCCAATCCAATTGCCCATGAATTGGCAGAGGTTAGAATTCAAATCCCTACAAACCAATACTTGAAAATCTATCTTTCATGGCCAGAAATTAAAATGTTTTCTGATTTAAATTAAAAGAGTTAACAGATATGCGCACATTGCGCAAACTTTCAAATTACCTCTATGTAACTGAACCATATAAGCTCCCCTTTCCCGCATAGATTTACGTAAATTCTCCCATAATGCCATTAAATTGCCCAGAGCTTCACTGAGCTGATCTGCAATTCGCGGGTACTGAACAATAGTGTTGACCACAGCCTGATGATTGCAAAATGACAACAGAACACAAATACAATCAGAAAATAAGGATACATGATAACTGAGTAAGTCGACGTGAAGTTTATGCACTGTGGAAAAGTCAGTGTATTATGAATTAAAAATTTGATACTGACGCCTTAAACTAGTCAACTGTACACAATTTTTGGAACTTGCCGGTATGCGAAAAACTAAGAAAACGAAATGAATTCATCTCACACGCCAGCGTTCGTTATTACTTTCTCATGGAATATTATGATTTAGTTAAATTTATAGAATTCTTGTCTATGGTGAAAATTTTCACTGTGGACGACGTTTATGACAAAACCAGCACTCATTATTAAATCAGCTGTTTGAATTTCATTATAACATCCATCAATTTTTTGATACTGGAGTTCAGACAATCCAACAGTCACTACCGCATCAATCTGTTTTTCATGTATGGTAAACAGTTGTCCTCCTATGATTCCTCCTGATCACTTTTGTTGTGGATGTGTGCTGTAAAACTACTCCTGAAAGTGAAATAATTTTGAAATAAAAAAAAACAATCATTACAGCATCCCTTCAAGTTTCATTATTATACTATTATTCCTTTGGGTTCTGAGTGGAACTATAGGGCTTCAGGAGAACAGCCCAGTTTCATCCGGCTCTCTGCAGTATATTTTAGCTCGCCCCACGGTTACTTACTTATAAGCTTTCACCTCCTCCTCATAGAGTCTCCACCATGTCACCTTCGGAAGCTCAAATAATCGTTTTCCATTCGGGTTCCACTTGAGGGCCATCCTAGCTTGTGATTTCACTCAACTGTCCCTTCAGATTTTGCCAAATCTATCTCCATTTCCAATTGCATATTTGTTGGGCAATAATTTCTCGGTTAATTCGCTGACAGAGTTCTTTGCTGCTTATCCCTTCTGGCCATTCGATCTTCGGCATGAAGTGAAGACTGCTGTTGATAGTAGTCTGCAATCTGTTGCAAATGCCGTGTTCAGACACGCCTTCTGAACCTTATAGAAGAACTGACTTAAAATTTGTCTTGAAAATCCAGATTTTCCTCTTTATACTGAGTTCAGAAGATTTCCAAACTGATTTGAGAGTCATGAACGCCTGCCTTGACTTTCTGATACTGGCTTTGACATCTTTATCCGTTCCGCCTATGCTACCGAAATAAGTGAAATAAGCAACCTCGTTAAAATTTATTCCGTTAACAGTGATTAGGGCTCGTTGCTGTTAGTTGTCGTCCATATTTATTACTTCTGTTTTCTATACGTTCTCTTGAAGTCCTCTTTGACGCCTCTTCTGCCAAATTGTTGGTTTTCATTTGTAGATCTTCGAGTTTGTTTGACATTAGACATAAATAAACCCTGGAATCTAGACCTTCTAGAGCCTTCTAATCAGTCCAAAATATGCCTCTCTTTACTCTCCCTACGGTCTGCCACATGATGCATTTCACCACAATCAGCAATCTCATCGGTGATAGTAGGCAGTCTTGTTTGAATACTGTCGTTGTTAGCCATGTTTATTCATTGGGAGGTATATTGGTCAAGCTTCCTACACGTAATGGCTACTTCTTTAGAAACCAAGAAATTATAATTGTTAGGCAAGAGACAGATAAGCATAGGCTGTACGCGTAATAGAAGCCTTGTATTGATTATCAGTCATGAATAATTCGGTGCAAAATGAATATCTTTTTAAGTGTTGCCTTTTGGTGCACTACTGATTGAGTAGATCATCCCACTTCTTTGCTATCTACATTGTACATTGGTTGTACAAGTTCCCTAATTACCTACATAGCTTTACCTTTCACAAGATTAAATGAAACTCGATATAGTTTAAATATCTCCAAAAAAGCTCACTGAAATGAATAGCTATCATAATGCAGTCTAGTCAGTGTTGTCTTCACTTCAATCACACTCCCCCCAAACTGAGAAGTAACACCTTGTTAAAAGAAAACTGTATGAAAACTAATCATGTACAACTTAAATAACACGTGGAATAATGATGATAAAGAATTCAATTGTTAAACCTTTAGTCCTATTGGAAGTATAGGATCAAACTTTTAATATGGCCACAAACTCATAGAATATCATGAAAGCGTTATGGTCAGATTTCTTTATCATACACCTTGGGCTGCAAGCTTGAACCTTCACAGCAGTATTAGCACCTTTTTAAAAATCTACATACATGTTTTGTTAATAAGTAACAAGTCTTCTGTCAGTCAGAAGTTACTTGTTATATAACATCTGAATCTTCAGGTACATTTTACTGAACATACTTATTTTTGGTATTAGATGGTTGAAGGCAACCGGCAGAAAGCTTTGGACCTAGGTTTCGTGCTGGCTGGAACTCGTCAGCAAGACGCATCTGCAGCCTCAAAGGAACTCATGTCCCTTCTGAGATTCGAACCCGCGTCACACAGTGCTGCAGTCAGAGACGTTACCACTGAGCTATTCAGGCTCGCGACTGACCTCCTGCAGGACTGTATTGGATATTTTTTCTGATTGGACACTAGTCAGTAACTAGTGTAATGTGTTGCATAAACAAGTTCACCATTTTTACAATCAGGAGGCATGAATTGAACTAGTCACTACTTTTAACAATTAATCCTTTCAAGGATGTTTTTAAAGTGCTATTGATTATTCAGTGCTTTGGATGAAATACAACCCTTTACATGGATAAACCTACATAGAATGCATTCCTAAGAACACAAAAAATAATAGACATGTTTAGTTCCTTGAAAGATAAAGACGGTAAAAGTAAAAACAATGTCTTCTAAGATATTCAAACCTTTCTCTTCTATGAATGCATTTGTAAGTCTTAATGTGGCACATTTTAGAGCGTAATGCTTGAATACTACTATGTACAAACTACCAAGCTTTGGCACTACACTGATTTTTTAAAATAAAAACCTCATTGACACTTGGTTGTAATGAAAGTTCTTGAAAATGATTCCTGTCCAAATTACCTGGAAAACTTGTTTAACACGCTCATTGTTGAATTCAAGTTCACTTTCCAGTTGGCGATGCTGAGCATACTGTCTGCTTACAAATACTCTGTATGGGATTAAAGAGTCTTTTTTCGATAAAACACCAGTTTCATCCCACTCTTCAGTGATTTCTTTCTTTTCAGTTAGCCATTCTTGTAGCTGAAAATCAGTGAAAATTGAAATAATAAAAAAAAAGTGTGGCAAATATAACAATAACTCATAGCGTTTATAATAACAATAAGAACAATTAGCAACAATTAAATAAACACCATGGCGAAATCAAGTAGAACCATAAAATCTAATAACATGCTACCTGTCCTAGATTTCATGAATCTGGAGTCTTGAACAAAATTACATTTCCCACATGATATGTTACTGAAAAATAACGATTACAAAAAATTGGAGATTGGAATCACAGTTCATAGAACATAAATGGGTACATCTCTAAATGAGCATGGTTTCCTTTCAACTAAATCCCGGTATCTGAAGTTACTTAGTCTCTCCATTTTGTGCTTCAAACATCCAGTTCGCTAATTTTTTCCCTACTTAATTAAGCGTTTCTTAAAATTATCTCAGAGTTTTTCTTAGTTTGTCATTTAACTCTCCGGAAATGTATTCATTTGTTGGTTGAGACAACTAGGCTTATTAATAAGTGAATGACAGTATCAACTCAGTTGAATTCGACAGCCCAACATTTTCATGGCTAAACATAATAGCCGATTATAAACTCTTATAATCATCCTTATCATAATCACCATTGTAATTAGACGAACCACGCATCGTAGTAAGCTGGAAGGAAAAGTGAGCAGAACGAACTCAAACACAAACACAAAACACAACAAAAAACTAATGAAAAATTAAGCTGTCCAGCGAAACAATAAACTCAATGAAAGTCTATTTGCTTTTATCTCTAGTTCTACAGATTTGACAAAGGCATAAATAACATCAACAAGCAAATCTGATCCTTATCGTCTATGTGAGGTAAAACTGCGTCTCAGTTGTCTCTATTCAGTCAGACACGTGAATGAATTCATTCTCAAAAAATTCAGCTATTCACAACAATATAAGACGATAAACCAACAGGATAAAGAAAATAAGAATTATTAGATAGCAGTAAAGATAACACGCTCCCTTTATTTTGTTTTGTCTTCTCTCAGTGTGACCGTAAAAGTCTAATTTGTAGGAAATATTTGACAGTTTAATTTATTTATCTGAGATATACGATTATTTTCTTCAAATCCTTTTCTAATTTCCCCGATCTTGAGTCCATGTTTCTGTATGTGTACGTGTGTGTGTGTTTGTGTGCGTATGAACACGTTTGTATTTGCTAGGATGCTTTGTCCAACTCCCTGTCCTTGTTGAACACCATGATCAGTGAAGAATGATGAAATGAATTTGAATAAATCATAGATATACACCACATCATAATATATTTGTTTAAAACGAAAGCCGAATTTATTGGACACACTTTAATTCTATTAATATAAATCATTCGGTGAAATACAGGTCATCAGTTACATTGTGTCTACACATACATAAGCACAAACACACGTCATATATTCGCTTAATATGGCTGGGGGCGTGAGAAACTGTTTCTCTTCGACCAGTTGTATCAATTAACCGAGCGTAACGATGACTTATAAAAGTGGGCTAATTCCTAATTCGGGGTAAAAAACCCAACTGTATTTTCTCCTCCTCACCTGATCCCAAAACGTTTGTCGGAAATAGTTGTAGGTGAATAAATAAATGAATTAAAAAAGCCTTCTGATTAATAATTACCTGTTCTCGAATTCAGTAAAAATGTATATATTTCTCGAAAAAAAACGAACTGACGTCTAAGGAATTAAAAATAAATAAACGTTTATCCAGAGGGTAACATATTTCAGGAAAACAGAATATGCAACAACACTGGAATTAATGCAGTCATCTTAGTGAGGTTGTGTATCTGGTCAGTAATCAAACCACCTTACAACAAAAAAATAGTGGACCATAAAGCCTTTTAGTTAACCTATTAAAATCCAAGGGTTGAATTTCTGCAGACACACTGTTTTTGTTCATTTGATAACTTGATACTGTGAAGTGAAGGCGACCTAGATTAACTTAAACTTTGACTTCTGTAGGTATATTTTCATTTATATTATGAAAAAATACTACAGAACAATGATCGAATGATATGCTGTCCGTGAATTCACAAAAATTAAGAAGAAACTGATTAGCAAATTTTTCAACTATCAGATTGTCTTCACTGATGCAGAAGCTTGGAAAATACATCTCAAACCATAGTAACAGATTTGATCAGCATTTGAGATAACACATCCACATGAAATGATGAATTTCTATCAGCAGTTATGTCCTACAGGAGAAGATTCATGGCTTGAATAACATATTTGCAATTGAACTGGGTGTCGCAGGTTTGAACTGTGAAGGGAGCGCAAATCTTCCCAAAAATTAAAGATATACCTTTCATTTTAGTGTAGATAAGGGTGAAATTTAAGTCATATGTGACATCCTGTCTACTGAATCACAGGATCTAATGTTAAGAGCTTAAAAGGCAACAAAGACGTATATAGTCTTGTTTTTATTAATTTTAATGTGATGGTACTAAATTTTGATTCAGTTAATTGTTACCAGTCGAAACTAATTAAGGATGGTTCTCATTCGGTTAAGGCTCTCGTCGGATGATCTTCTAAAACTCAGAAATTAATTTAAGTTTAGACCACTGGTTGATATCAGTTAGAGAAGCATTGAAAAAGTAGGATAACTGGACACCTGTTTCACCCTAGTTTAGGGATCATCAGCAATACGCACCCACTGGGGTTCGAACACAGGACTTTCCTGTTACAAGGCAAGCTCGTATACCATTTAGTCATTGGGATTCAATTTAATGGCCAACCCATGAATTCTAACTTCTGCCAATTCGTGATTTAGCGCGACCACCAACCAATGTCATCGGTGGGACATTCATCCTCACACTTGACTGGATGGACCCCGCTGGTAACGACTTTTCACTAGAACTCCAGGACACTCCGTCCTGTATCCAGTCACTAGCGAGCATTAGATTAGTTTTGAAGAATTGGTTCTTGTAGGGATTCTATTTGTTTCAGGTTAGACAATGGGTTAAATAAAAATGGTGACTTTCAAGCTGATTTCTTCTCGTACTGTCTTTTTTAAATGGACCATCTACTTCTCATAGTTTCCATTGGGATCAGGTGATAAACACCGGTTTATGGAGTCAGTCAAGTTTTGTACTGGGACAGCTTTTAGATAACAGTATTGGTTATTTTTGTCTTCGTTATTACTGCCGACTACCAGAAGTTGAGAAGCATGTACTGCTGAATTATCACTGGATGGAAAAAAGCTTGCTATAATATCTGAAAGCAGCTTCCTGAATTCCCAGTGTCGCTACAGAGGTATAAGTTTTGAAAACTAAAACGTGGATTTTTAGAAATTCCGAATTCTTTATAATCTTCTTAAGAAAATCGGAGCACGTGTCAAAAATGTCTTCGGCTACTCAGATGAATAGGACTCACCGTTTGATAGTATAATTATAAAAAGCTTTACATTTTTTTAAAATAAGTTTGTGTATTTCCTTATTAAACTTACAATTTGAATTTGTTGAAGTTCTTCACGAAGAGCTATCATGTCCTTAGTTGAATCCACTTGTTCACGAGCCTCACTGAGCAGTTTGGTATACCTGTGGTAGAAAAAATATCAAAAAAGGTATTTTTTTTACAAATAATAAAAATCAATTTTATCTGTTCATATCATATTCAAATGAACCGCATTTTCTGACTATGAACATGTAAGGTCTGAGAATTCCATATCAGATAAGTTCTGGTAATATAACACAGTAATGTAGAACTGATACCTGAATGATGTTTCGAGTGCAATTTATTGCTCATAATCATATCGATGTATTCACACAGCTGCATAATTCGCCCCGTATATTTTTTCTCTTCTCGCTGTTATTAATTAAAGTTCTCCATATATCCAGTATAGGCGTTGGGTCATTTTGTTGCATGTATTTGGTGATGATTCCATTAACAAAAATTCCATGATTAACCTCCCTCTCCATTAACTATACTACCTTTTTGTACGTACACCATATCTCATACAATTGTGTGATCACATGTAAGTGAATGAATTCCAATGGCTGAGCCATTTAGAGGATTTTATATATATATATATATATATATAAGGAAAGACGTTCAGCGAAGTGTTACCGATTTCGGCGATATCATTCTCAAGCTGTACAATGGCATATATATAGTTAATTTTCTTAGCAACAAAATGAATATTTCAAAGATTTGTCATTAGAATTGTAAATTTTAGTCAGCAAATTACGTAATGTAGAAAGAGGGTAGAAACTAAAATAAAATTATTAGAATTGTAAGATTTAAATAACAAATTTCGTTAACTGATTCAAAACTACAGTAAGATTAAATAAGCAAGTTGAGTGACTTAATCAAATTGATGGGGTTGAGTAGAGCCCAGCTAAAATTAAAACTGAACTAAAGTCAAGTTAACAACGGTGGCAATAAGGGGTGGGGGAAATATTATACACTTCATATATAGTTATATATGTATATATATATACATATATATATAATGTTAGACATTGGTAGAAGAGTAAAACTTGTGCACTGTGGTAGAGTGTTATAACACTGTGAGACCTCATCAAAACAAAATTTACCCACAATGGAATTACACTCTACCACAGTGCATAAGTTTTATTCTTATATCAGTGATATATATGGTCTTCCTAGCAGGAAGCTTATCAACAAAATCACATGACTTTGTCAAACTGAAGCAAGATTCACAAATCATCGGATTTTTAACAGTCGATGTTTAAAAAATCATATAATTCCGAAATATTTACGTCTACGTACTCCAATTACTTCAAGCAAAATAACATCATCAGCCGAACATGTCAGTAGATTATGTCTAAGAGAAGAACTACTGTGAAACTAAATAATATACGAAATAAAATTGAAAAACTCAAACACAAACTCAAATGTATGGTCAATGACAAAGATTATATAATTGTTGTGGGAACATCCAAAAAAGTTAGAGAATCAGCATTAAGAAAATCAGAAATCACACAAATAAAAAAATTCAACAAACTAATTGAAGAAAAGAACACAACAAATGAAATTGATGTCAACGCTTCATCCTGTATCGACAGAACAAAGTGGGTGATCAACCTCTCATCAAGGGAATTAAGCTCTAGTGAGATAAAAGTACTTCAGAAAGGAGTAAATTTCAACATAACAGTTAATAAATTAAAATCAGAGGATTTCATTCCTAACACAGAAGTAGCACTAAGCTTAATAGATAAGACGACAGCAGAAGAGGTTCGAGCACAATGTGCATTAACCTTGAAAAATCAAAAGAAATCAAAATCAAACTTAACTACATCGGAAAGACTAGCTTTAATTAGTCTAAAACAAGATAAAAACATCGTCATCGCAAAAGCTGACAAAGGAAACTCTACAGTAGTCTTGGATAAATCCGACTATATCAAAAAAGTCACTGAACATATTGAGATGGGTCCATATGAGGAAATTAAGAAGCCTGTAGATACAATAATGAATAAGGTTAAAAAATCCACAACGGAATTAATACGCAGAATGAAGCCGTCACTGGGTGAGTCAAAATGGTTTAATTTAATGCCAAAAACTAATAATGCTAGTAGAATGTATGGTACTATCAAAAGACATAAATCAGGTTACCCCATACGACCAAAGTAGACTTTAGGAATACCCCTACTTATGAATTATCAAAACACTTAGCTCTAATATTATGCCCCATTAGAAATCGTTCAAACTCTAGACTAGCTAATTCATATGAGATGAAAAATAAAGTAAATGACATTCAACTAGAGAAGGATGAAACAATGGTTAGTTTTGATATAACTAGTCTTTACACTAATATACCAGTCAATATGAACTTAGAAGGAGTTAAAAAAGAACTAACTGCAGATCCTGAACTCACTTATAGGACGAAGCTACCCATTGAAGAAATTATTTTAGGAATTCAGTTATGCCTCACATCTACTATCTTTAAATTCCAAGGCAAAATATATAGACAAACTGAAGGTGTAGCAATGGGATCACCAATATCCTCTATCGTAGCAGATATATTTATGGACATTTGGGAAAATATGGCTCCTAATACGTTTAATTCTACTCCAAAAATATGGTGGAGATATGTGGATGACATTTTCACAGTGTTAAAAACAGAACACATCTCTAGCTTCTTGACACACATAAACTCACTAGTGGAGGGAATAAATTCACATTTGAAATGGAAAATGAACAAGGAGAATTAGCTATGTTAGATTGTAAAATAAAACGAATAGAAGAAGGTAAACTGCACACTAGTGTGTACAAAAAACCAACTCATTCTAATAGATATTTAGACTTTAATTAATCTCATCCGTTAACTGTTAAGGCAGGCTTAGTTAAGTGTTTAACAAACCGAGCAATGGCACTAAGTAGCACAAAAAAGACCTAAATGATGAAATAAAACAGATAGAAGAGGCTTGGTGTTAAATAATTATTCTATAAAATTCAATAGGAAGATCGAAAAAGGCCAAAAGAAAAAGAAAATTAATTGTGAAACTAGTAATAATAACATAAATAAGAAAGAATTTAAGTCATCTACAGTTATACCATATAAAGAGGGGACATCTGAGACTCTACGTAGGATTCTAAATAAAGCAGGAATTAGGGTGGCATTTAAACCTACAAACTCACTCAGGGACAAGCTCTGTAGGTTAAAGGACCCATTGGACCCAATTAGACAAAATAATATAATTTACAAAATACCCTGCAATGACTGTGAGGTCAACTACATAGGTCAAACTAGTAGGTCAGGGGTAGTCAGATTGTCAGAACATAAGAATTTAGCTAAGGTAAGAATGGTTGACCCAGAGAAGATAAGTAATTTAGAAAAAAGCTCGGCAATTGCAATGCATGCATTAACACACAACCACACAATAGGGTGGGAGAGGGTTAAAATTCTAAAAAGTAATCTAGGTAGGTGGAGAGAGAGGTTGATTACTGAATCCTTGTTCATCGAGTTTACACCCAACACATGCAATAGGAATGATTCATCACTCACACCGGAAATATGGAAAATACTACTATCAATCAAATCAAGCGAAAATCAAGTGGAAGATAATAGAACTATATAAATGAAGTTAGGAAGTCGTGTGAGTACCTTGATATGATTATGAGTGGCAATAAATTGTGCTCGAAACGTCATCAGTAAATATTACTGTATAACACTGTGAGACTTTATCAAAACAAAATTTACCCATAATGGAATAATGCTAGACAGTTTGAAAACACTGAATCGAGGACTTTGGTTATGCTTCTTTTCCCATGTAGCCTTATGCAGTGTTCTTCTGAAAAATGATCTCTCTGCTTATACTAAACAATGAATTCGAATTAAAAGTATGTTTACAGTATTACCTGAACATGCCGTAATTGATTTTCATTTCTCCCACATCTAATTCTGAGCATTTACAAAGGAAATTACAGAGAAAAGTTTATCTTCGTAAACGGCAGTTTTCAGTATTCAGGATAAGTAATTTTTTAACGTGTAAACGACTGCAAAGGATTAATGCCAGCTACTCAAGAATATTTTGTTTTCAGAACTATCACTTTATTATACATAAAACCTGTCCGTTAATTAAATTTCTTTCGACATTTCGAAATGAAGCAAAATCGTAAATAAAGGTGTTTGAGGAAAACAGCTCACCACAAACAAACAGCTGTAATCTGTGTTTTAGTCCCCCCAAAAATGATGCAATGACAATATTATCCAGATAAATCTTCGAACAAAAGTAGGCGAATTTCAAATATTCACATTGGCAAAGCCAAATGAATCATGGGAATGGTTGAATAAACTCTGGTCAACACTCGCATATCGATACATATCAGATAATAAGTGAGTTTATTCGAGATATCATCAGACAGCCACTTCCATAAGGAGCGTGCTGTAGGGTTATCTACATTGTTCTAATAGTGCTGTAGAAATTAGTTTTTCTTTTCCTTATCCGGAATCTTTCTTTGTGTATTATTATTCCTATTTACTGTGTTAAGAATAACAGTAAATTACAAAGCAGGACCTTCGCTTACAGCAACTTATATGTGATTAATATCATTTAGGTGAAAAATATGATCTCTTTCCACATCTTTTGTTGGCGTAATTATTTTTTTTACTGAAGTTTCAAGTTAACCTATGGGATGTATACAAAACAACTATTCATTATTGTCTTATTATTCACTGTGCAAACGTTTTTCATTCTTTAACTGTTTAACTCTTTGTAAGTTGTATAAATTGAAGAACTTTTGTGATTTACTTGGTGGAGTGTGAAACTGATAAAGATGACACAAGTAGAACTTATTATCCCTAGTAAAATACTGAGCGGTGTCACCCTATAGAGACTAAACATCGTACTGAATGTAGAACTCCTACCAGAGCAAGCCGGATTCAGCAAAAGGAAATCGTGTGCGGATCAAGTTGCAACTCCACGCATCATCATCGAACACACCACAGAATGGTATTCAAACCTCTAACTCGACTTCATCAATTTTAAAAAGGCCTCCAACAGCGTTGAATGGGAAGTAATTTGGAAACTACTTCAACACTACAGCTTGCAGTGCACATATTTTTATTAGCCTC